AGGTTTTTCAAATGTTCAAAGGATTTTATGAATTCTGAAGTATACTGGACTTTTGCATCTTTCTTTAAGCAAGAGGTCATTGGCTTTGTTACTTTGGCAAAGTCTTGAATAAAACGTCTGTAATACTAATAACCAACTAAACCGAGAAAAGATTTTATGTCTTTAACAGCACTTCTGTTCTCAAAAATTCAGATTTGTCTAGTTGTACTTTGAATTTAGCTTCACGTAATCTGTCGAAAATTTTCCGTAAATATGTGTTCTTGTAAGCTGCTACTACAAATTATTATATCGTCTAAGTAAACAAAACAAATTTCATTCTGCAATCCACGCAAGATATTATTCAGTGCTTTCTGGAATATTGCTGTGTTCTTTAGACCGAAGGGCATTATTCTGGTAAACTCATAATGTCCTAAATCAGTACTAAATGCTGCTTTATGAACGTCTTCTGCATCCATTTCAATTTGATAGTATGCATTTGCTAAGTCTAAAGTCGAAAAAATATTTGGCTTTTCCCAATTTATCTAGAATTTCGTTGATATTGGGTAATGGAAATTTAACATCAGCAGTTTTTCGTTCAACTTCCTATAATCGACACATAATCTAAATTTTGGTTTTCCAGATGCATTAAGTTTCCTTGGTACTATTAATATAGGAGCTGAAAATGGTGAATTTGACTCTCTAATCATATTTTCTTCCAATAATTTATTGATTTGAGTCTTAACTTCTTGTCGGTGTATTTCGAGGTATCTGTACATTTAAGCAAAAATTGGTGTTTCGTCAGTTAATTTAATTTGATGTTTAATAACATTCGTAAAACTCAATGGTAGGTCTACACAATAGAAGATGTCTCTATATTCTAGACATAGTTGACGAATGGCTTGTTTTTTTCTTCCAAATTACAGTGTTCCAATCTTAAATATTTCAAGTTAGCCTTTATTGTCTAATTCTTTTGGCATTTTATAATTATTATTTTCTGCACTGATAAAATTCAATTGATTTACTTCGAATGGTTCAACTGGTAAAGGTTCTGAAAAATTAATTGGGGTTTGAACTTGAATTCAATGCTGTCGTATAAGCGAAATAATTTTCAATTCTTATTAAAGACTCGGGGATCTCGATGCTTCCTTGTGCATAATATACCGTATCCATTTTCAAGATTTACTGGTACCTTAATCTGCGATATCATACGCAGCGGTATGACAAAAGTTCGTTTCAATGTTTTCAAGACAAGAGGTTTTAATTACGTCGTAAAATTCTTTGAAAAAAAAAAATAATGGTCCGCGGTCGGATACATTAACAAAGTGTATTACCGAGTTTGTTTATCGTTATTTATTTTCCAGTACTAATAACGTCGCGCCCGTAGACTGAACAATGGCATCATATGCTTTAAGTCTACACAAATATATTCAGTCTTTTTCGAACCTCCAACAGTGGACATTATAATTATTATAAAATTATTGCACCACATTTTTTTTTTAACAAGTAAGTAAATCTTTTATATACTAATATCAATACCTACAGAATATTTTTTAGATATGGATTTGAAATCAATCAACGAGACCTGCTTCTTCAAGGATTAAAAAACACTTGTGAAATTACAAGACATGGAGCCTGACAGAAAGTACCCAATATTTTCTGCTAAAAAAACCCAAAGTAAATTCGGACCGAGTATCCTCATTGAACTTGACGATAAGGCAGTGTTTCTTCGAAAACGTACCACCAAATCATTGGAAGATCATATTGAGCAGTTTATGGATGGAAAATATTCAATAATATACAGAGGCCAGAAGGATGTAGGACGACCAAACCAAAACACATTTTTTTTTTAACAAGTAAGTAAATCTTTTATATACTAATATCAATACCTACAGAATATTTTTTAGATATGGATTTGAAATCAATCAACGAGACCTGCCTCTTCAAGGATCAAAAAACACTTGTGAAATTACAAGACATGGAGCCTGGCAGAAAGTACCCAATATTTTCTGCTAAAAAAACCCAAAGTAAATTCGGACCGAGCATTCTCATTGAACTTGACGATAAGGCAGTCTTTCTTCCAAAACGTACTACCAAATCATTGGAAGATCATATTGAGCAGTTTATGGATGAAAAATATTCAATAATACAGGGTGTCCCAAAAAGATACCGACAAACTTTAAGGGGTAGTAGGGGACATCAAAACAAGCATTTTTGTTTATATAAACATATGTCCGCAAATGAGCCATTTGGACTGTAGAGCAAAAAAACTGTTTGATACTTTTATTCTTCGCAATAATTAAATCACTGTTTATTTATTAATTTTGCTTTATTATCAAATAAATTATGGTTTAGAATAATTGTTCAAAATGTTGACCATTTACTTTAATGCACAGATTACACCGTCGGGTCATTGACTGAAAAGTTTAGTCTACGAAACACCTGTTCGTAATGAGGAAGATCTGATAGCAAGGAAACTCGCGAGTTGTACTCATGTAGAAGCTATTCCCGGAATATTCCAAAGAGTTCGCGAGTTGAACAATAATTGTAAACCATAATTTGTTTGCTAATAAAGCAAAATTAATAAGTAAACAGTGATTTAATTATTGCGAAGAAACTAGGTAGGTACCAAACAGTTTTTTTGCTCTACAGCCCAAATGGCTCATTTGCGGACATATGTTTATATAAACAAAAATGCTTGTTTTGATGTCCCCTACTACTCCTTAAAGTTTGTCGGTATCTTTTTGGGACACCCTGTATTCAGAGGCCAGAAGGATGTAGGACGACCAAACCAAATATCGCTTTTTGAAATAGTTGAGTCTTGAGTGGATATCAGATTTAAAAAAAATGAATTCTTATCCAATCTACAGTATGCTGAGCTTTGCTGTATCAGGTTTTTCTCAAAATTTCCATATTCGGTCATTTTCCGACAAAATCCCACTAGGGAGCTAACTTGACGCTCAGCCCCCCCCCCCCAAAATTTTGGAAATCAGATTAAACAAAATTGAATTCTTATCTAATCTGTAGTGTGCTGAACTGTGCTGAATCAGGTTTTTCTCAAAATTTTCATATTCAGTTATTTTCCGACAAAATAATCATACTGGGGAGCAGGGAGCCAATTTAAAGCTCAGCACCCCAAAATTTTGAAAAAACAGATTAAACAAAATTTAATTCTTTTCCAATCTGAAGTGTGCTTAACTGCGCTGTATCAGGCTTTTCTCAAAATTTCCATATTCGGTCATTTTCCGACAAAATCCTACTGGGGAGGTAACTTGACGCTCAGCCCCTCAAAAATTTCGAAAATCAGTTTGAACAAAATTGTATTCTTATCCAATCTGAAGTGTACTGAACTCTGCTGTCAGGTTTTCTCAAATTTACATACTTATTCAGTTATTTTCCGACAAAATCCTACTAGCTAGCTTGACGTTCAGCTCTGAGAATTTACATACATACCATCCATTAGGTTTATATCGGGAAATGGCCAAACATGGAAACTTGGAATAACCTGATCAGGCACAATTCGGCTCACTTCAGATTGAATAAGAATAAGAGTCCGTTTTTCTTTGATCTGATTTCTAAAATTTAGCATCAACTTAGCCCCCTCTTAGTTTTTTGTCGGAAAATGACCGAATATGGAAATTTCGAGGAAAACCTGGTACAGCACAGTTCAGCACACTTCAGATTGGATGAGAATTCAATTTTGTGCAAACTGATTTTCGAAATTTGGGGGGGGGGGGGGGCTGAGCTAAAACTTCCGTTTTCTAATTGTTGTTGAATCTTTGTACCCTCCTGCAGTTTCATAAAGTTGAATTTGTTTTTTCCTTCCATAGATAATAGCTATTTATATAACAAGTACATAAAGTAAGGCTTTATTGACTCATTATTTAATAGCCTCGCTCGCAAGCTCGCTCGGCCATAAAATTATTCGTACAATAAAGCCTTACTTTATGTACTTGTTATATAAATAGCTATTATCTATGGAAGGAAAAAACAAATTCAACTTTATGAAACTGCAGGAGGGTACAAAGATTCAACAACAATTAGAAAACGGAAGTTTTATTTGTTTTGGTTTATCAAAGTATGAGGTTATGATTTGATATTATTGATGGCAAAACGTAACTGCGCCTGCGTATGACTAATATTTCCACGAAACTTTTGCTAGACTTTTATTTGCCGTGTCAAACAGGAAAAAGTGAAACCAAGAATAGTAAACTTACGAAATATTTCGGCAATAATTTCGTGAATAATTTCGTGAAAAAACTTTGCCGTGTAAAACGGCTCAAAAAAAGTCTGATCCAATCTCTAACCCAAACGCGTTTTTTCCTATTTTTCTTGCGTTCTAGCACGCACTACCCTACTTGGAGCCATTTTATTTTCTACTGTTTGGCAAATAAACTTGGAAATATGTAAACACAAAACAATGAATAAGTTTAGTGACAGCAAGTATAAGTGTATAAGTAGCTTTAGGTAATTGTCTTTACGCCAGACTATAAACATGGTACTTAACACATTTTGAAAAAATGGAAAAAAGCAATACGAATACGAACTATCTTTCACTTCTTTCTTGTTCAAAAGACTATTTCTAGGCGGGGCTAGGGGGCTTGCCCCCCCCCCCCCCAAACGACGCCAATGTCTGTTATTATGCTTTGCTGTGTTACTGGATAATGCTTCGCATGGATTTTATATTTTCAATTTGTTGCATTTGTTATTGGTCTCGTCAGATGTGAATTTTTTATATAACAATATGACAAAACAATTCATGTAAATAATGAAGGGCATACAGACACTATGTTGAGGCATTTTAGTGAAATTTATCCCAATGCAAGAATTAATTAAAATTAGCTCCAGGTATAGCTTTATGTAAAGGATTTATATTCACTGTCGGGCGTCTCCCAAGATAACCAAGCTCATCCTGCGAGATCGCGCTAATTTGAATTGGGCTTAATCATCCAAAAACAAAATATTATTATTCAGGAATTAAGCTCAAAAAAATGCTGCAACATTTTGAACGGCATGATTCTTACCTTAGGAGTGTATACGTTCAAATACAAACAATCCTCTTCACCCTCAAAAATATTAGACCTTCTGTAAATATCTCTCTGAGGGCATATTGGGTGGAGTTTTGTAGCATTTAGGGTGTGTTTCCAGCAACCAAATGGTATTGGAGGCTGAAAAAAAAAATCTACATATAGGTAAGAGTATTTCGAAAATCTATATTACTATGACAACAACGTACCAAATGGCACCAAAATAGATCTTTTTTATGAAGGTTTGCAAAAGCTATTTAAATTTGTATATTTATAGTTAGGAAATTGAACATTCATTAATTTATTTCATTGAAAATCATTTTCCTTTAACGCAAAATGTAATTATTATTACTCTGACTTCAGTACTTTGTAGACCAGCTATTTGCACAACTGCTAAGAAAAATCTGCAACAAATTAATAAAATCTATGCTAATGAAGACGTTGGTTGCGTTCTAGCCATTTACGTTTTATGATTTTGGTATTAATTCTCAACAAATAATAGACTTTCATTGTTTTAAAGTACTTACAATATTGTTAAAAATCAATGATTTATTGACTACTTTAAAAAATTATAGCCAGCAGGCTTTTTGTGAAATATTTATGCATTCAATTGATTTAATCCATAGTTATTTCAACTTTTCGGAAAACTTGAGAAACGAAGAAAAATAAGTTATAGTTGTAGCGTTGCATATCAAACAAGGGCTGCTTATATTATATCATTCGTCAATCTTGATTTTATGGGCAATTAAAGATGCGTCCCATGAAAAAATTACTTTCACTAACCATAAAATTTTTATGAGATAATTGGGATATTATTTACCTACTCAAATTACGCCATAGTACCTACCATAAGGCACTTGTTTTCAACTTATATCTGAAGATACATTGCTCATTCTAACATAAAAATATCCAGAATTAGGTGAAAAATATGCACAAGTTTCTCGATAGAGCTTGCCCATACTTGATTTAGGAATAGTGATTGCTTATAATATTATTATATCTGAAATTAGGATCCATAAATTATTTCAATAACAAGTTTTAGTCGTAGGTATGAGTTTAATGCTAATCAATTCCAACATGCAATCAAATTGCAGAAAAAAAATTATTCCATATAAATTATCTAAAATTTTATTGCTGATCAGCAATGGTTGAGCATTTTTTTTTTCTAATTTATTGTTTAAAGTGCATAAAATAAAGTGAAGGTTTTCTTCTTAAATGACTAAACCACTCAAAATTGACTTTTTTCGTAAGTTTTAAATGCATCAATGTTGACACTTTTTCAAAAATACTGATGGAAGTTGTAAAAATTTAAAGCAATGGTAAATAATACGAATTATTAATAAATAGTAGGTACCTCAAATCTCAAATTCCCAATGGGAGGTTTGGCGAAAGGTATGCCCAGGTAGCCAAAAATGTCTCTACCCTCGCGACTTTTCAAAATTTTACCCTCCAATTTTCCATCTGCACATTTCACTATCGGTGCCCTATCATCACTAGCGACTACACTAGAAAAAATCACACATAAAAAAAATTTCAACATTTTCATCAGTTTAAAAAGAACTTTTGCTCTAGCTACTACGACAAACAACCCATTGATTTTATATTTGCCATATTACTACCGATAATAGTAAATCATATTATGGTGGGAAAACAGAAGAGTTTTCGCAAATATTTTCAACTATAGTCATACCGTTCTCATTTGACAAGTTTTTAAAACACACCAACTAATAACTGATAATAAATTTCCTTTTTTTTTACCGTAATTAGGATACTCACCTTTTATAATTTTTTACCATAAATATTGCTAGTAGCAAACTTACGATAGCTGTCAGGAAAAATGCAATATATTCATTCTGTATCATACAACATAGACAGTTTTGCGTAGGTACTAGATATAAGTCAGGAAAAGAAGCTTGATTCCTGTAAAACCTATTTATCTCAAACTGATTGGCATAGGTATAAGTCATCATAAGTCCGGAAAATGGCATTTTCGTCATACGTCACTACTTCAGTAACAATGTAACATTACTAGTTTTTTTGTCTAAAACTAGGCAAAACTTGAAAAAGGTTGGATTGCCAACTCGTTCTGCCAAATGACACAGGTTTCCAAATTGTCGTTCTTAGGAATATAAAAAAAAAATTCAACAGAAAAATTAGGATAAAAATTCTGCACTCAACTATGTCCATGAAGATCTAAACTCTCACTTCAATAAGTAATTTCTCGGACTTGTAACGTAATTCGAGTTTACGTTACGATATAAAATATCAAGTCTTCAAAAACTTTGAAATCGTGGAATGCATTATAAGTAAGTACCTACCCATTACAGATTCATTCAAATTTCGCCGATATTAAACTGTTTGTCGCCACAGAGAGTATCTGGTTGAGTGGGATCATTTCTAGCGGGGTTCGGAAAGAATTATCAAGAGTATAAAGAAATGAATCTGGATTAATATACGTAGAAAATGGATAAAACACATGAAATCATCGGAAGCAGTAAACGAAACAATCATAAAACCAAATGTATACCTTTTTCACTTATTATTGGCGTAGTGGCGTGCCATGGAAATTTGGCAGGTTGACCCTCGTATAATAATGACAGTATATGTCAAATTCCAGACAGTTTTAAGTGTGGTTTACATAATTTCGTAAGTGCCGCGGTATTAAAATGTTCTGGCCTATCTGGCAAATCAAATTTAACACATTTGTCAATGCATTTTTCAATAATGCTATATTATAAACGGTACCTAACTATTTTGCGTACCTGCAAAATCTAATGACATTTTTTAAAACTCGGCATTGTCTTTCATATTGAAGATGCCGAAAATAATCTCAGAAGAAAAAAAAAGGGAAATATTAAAATGTCATGGTTATTTTAAAAAAAAAATAAACCAGAGGCTCTCCAGGGAACAATTGAAGCCCAACTTGCAGATATACTTGAGGTAGGTATAACTTAAATGTAGATGTGAAGCCATTTCTTACCCAACCAACATTTTCCTTAAATTTTAGGTGGGAACCAGGACTATTCAAAGAATTTTGACTGGACAATATACAAACAAAAAACCTTTAGGCCGACCGAAAAAGACAGAGACTATTATGGACCGAATGTTTAAAGAAGATTTACAACGACAAATTTGGAAATACAATTCTAAAAATGAATATTTTACATTACAAACATTACTGACAAAATTTGGAATTTAAGGGAGGGCAAACAAGTTTATAAAAAATTTTAAAATCTATGGGATATAAATTTAAATTAGTAATTGGACGCAAAATTTTATGTGAGCAGAAACATGTTCTTGCTGCCAAAATTACATTTTTGCGGAAATACCTGCAATATAAACATTCAAACGAATATATCAGATTCGTGTATTTAGATGAAACTTGGATCTACCAAAACGGACCTTAAGTTCGTCGATGGATACACGAATCTGATATGAAAAGCAACCCATCCCAAATTAAGTCAGAGGGGAAACGTTTTACTATTTTGCATGCGGGGAGTAGTTCGGGGTTTTTAGTTGGGTGCGATTTTTTTCTAGATTCAAGAAACAATGACAGAGACTACCACAATACCATGAACGTGGACATCTTCCAAAAATGGGTCGTTGATCAACTACTTCCTGCATTGAATTTATTTGAAGAGAAATGTGTAATAATCATGGACAACGCTCAATATCATTCAGAGCAGAAGGATAAACCACCTTCATTCTCTTCAAAGAAAGACAAAATGCAGGAATGGTTGGTTAAACATAACGTAGGCTTCGACACAAAAATGACCAAAAAACAACTATGGGACCTTACTCAACCATTTCGGAATAAACCAAAACAATACAAAATTGACGGCATTTTGAAAAGCCACGGACACGAAGTTCTTAGATTACCTCCTTATCATTGCCAATATAATCCTATTGAAATGGCATGGGGGTTTTGTAAGAACTTCTATAATAAAACTATAACTTCGCAGCCACCATCCACGGATAGGGTTGCGAGGGTATGGCGTGAGTCTCTTTCAAAATGTACCTCAGACATGTGGACGAATTTTTGTAGACATTGTGACGGACTTATTTCAGAAGACTGGACAAAATACATGGGAGATTTACCTTTCAAAAATATTCCTCCTTTCATTATTTCTCTTGGAGAATCCGATTCCGAATCGGATTCAGAAATGTTGTCTGAATTTGAGGAGGTATCTAGTTCTTCAAGTGAAATGGTGGAAGCTGAATAAGACGGACTAAAAACGGATCTGAATTTGAACTATTACTTTGACAAAACTATAAGGGGAGGGTGGATAGGATCGGGACTCTGTGAGACAATGGACACGCTAATATTTCCCGCCTCTTGCGGCTTTCTGATCTATCACGCCAAGGTGCCAACAGTATCTCCAGAATGGTCAACCGGCACAGATCAGATTGTTTTTGTGGAATATATTTTTTTTTTGAAAAAGCTTATCATGGGAATATTGGGAATTTTGTATTTTTGGCATTGTTGATCTAATATTTCAAAGAAGCGAGGTAAGTATTTTATTGTTTATTTTAATGTTATTTGTTTAACTTTTTGTGTCAGAGTAGAAAGCAGGTTAACCGATAAAGTTATGTTCTCACAGAACGAAAATACCAATGGGAGGTTTTGATATTTTTAAGCTAATCCGATAAAGTGTACAAGGGGAGAGGCTGCACAGGATCTCCCCTTGTTGTCCATAGCTTCCCTTCAAAAAGAAAAACAGCAACAAAAACTTGTGGCAACATGATGGTTGAAACATATTATTATATTCCATTTCAGTTGAGCAAGAACATAACAATAAGAACATAGAAAAAGACTGACAGGGAGTTCTGACTTGATTCCATGAAACAAGCTAGTTGATGTGATTGACTTCTGACATGTCCTATCCAGATAGGAAAAAATGGAGTAAAGAAATTCAGTGTTGGTAACCGGGTTGAACTATGTCAGACAAGTCCAAGAAAAAGGTCTCGAAAATGTTATGTTACACCTAATTTTATAACGTCATAAGTATTTTCTATGCGGATGAAAAACGCTTAAGAGAAATATCCACTGAAGTGTTCCTCTATATTTTACGGTCTGGAGCCAAACGCAACAACGCGATTAGTTTATGAATATGCTCAAACGAATTCTAGAACTCATGCAAATTTATAATTTAGATGAGGTAAAATTTAATATTTTTTGAACCACTCATGTTATTTTAAATTCTTTTTTGTAGACGGGTGTAACGACGGTACAACCAGTTCCTGAAATTTTTGGAAAGAAGCCACTTCTCGTGAAAGAGGTGAATTGATTACGCAAGTAGGAATAATCTCTTCCAGCGGAACAGCGTTGTCGCCAATTTGAGCATTTCCGTTTCCCCGCATACGCTATGACGCCAAGAGAATGATGCAAGGTGTTTCGGGATGTGGTGCTCTGGGATTTCCTTGTGATATGTTAACAAGCTTGGGTTAGAACGTTAGAACCGCTGCACCAAGAGATGCACTGAAGTAATGCAATTTTATCGAAACATCTTCAATGAAGAAGACTTTTCCTCCTCTCACGTAATGGATCAACCGGCTCCCACCATCTATAATAATTATTCATATCCAGAGCCGCAACTAACTATCCACATCAAAAAGGCAACCTAGAGCTACAACCATCAACATCAAAAAACTATCCTGCGCCATAGATGGTAGATGCATGATTGCCACTGACACTCCCTAAGACAGCGATTAGGGATATGGAGGAGGATCGAATTGAATGAAGATAATTTATCAGAAGATTAATTAATTTTCATCAACGACGAGAAAAATTTTGATTACAAAGAACTTCCAGAAACATGTTCTATAACGACAAAGTTTATGGTAAAAGTAGTGTCAGAAATTAGGCAGCGAAAATAAAAAGAAGAGTTGATTGATATGAAGTGAACTTCATAGAACGTCACGTTGTATCAAATAGATTCACAGTTCTTAAAGATGATTAAGCTTTGGTTCCTTTTTACGACATTACTTCTTCACTTCCATCTCCCATTAATGATAGAAGAAAGAGATTTAGAGACATGATTTATTTCAATTTAGATTTGACGTAATTTGGTTTGCAGTGATGATTTTTTTATTTGTGTTTTTATTTTTTTCTATTCTTTAAATTTTCAAGAATTCCATTCAATTTAATTAGAATGTAGGAATTTATATCTTTTATCTGTTCTAGTTATTTTTAAAAATAATTACTTGGCGAAATATAATATTTTACCTTTACCTTGAAATAATAGTATATTATATACCTAGGTAGAGAAGTTGGTCATTACATACCGAAAGGTATATAATGACTTTCTCTACCGAGGAATATATAGATTTTTTTTTACTACTGCTAGTAGAAAGAAAAATTTGTTTAAAATCTGTGTTCTAATTATTTTTTGTGAACGCCCTCTTGAAAGTGCTGCCCTCTATCAACAGCTTATATAACTTCCTATGTACCTACAGAAACCTGTATTTTTTTTCAAATTGACGTATGAAATTGAAATTGAACCAATAGAAACATGACAATATCCTTGCGTCATGACGTCATTTTCATTATTGACCTAGGTATTTTTTCAT